ACGATCCTCAACATGGTGAGCGTCCCCACTCGCGCGGCCACACGTGCCGTCACGCCCAGCGGGCTGTGTGTGCGTGTGCGCGTGCGTGGGCGCGTGAGTGTGTGTGCGTGCGTGTGCGCGTGCGCTCGCACGTGGTTCATGCCCTTCTCTTTGCTATGGATTTACGTCTCCTACCTTGAAATAGTCCATCTGCGATAACTCCTTCCGTTTTACTGTGCTCCCATCCAAAGAGCCGTTTTCAGAACTTCAGAGAATAAATTAAGGGAGGATAAATAATTTGACCCTCTCCGTACACCGGTGACATGTTTGGATGTACTGATGTCATTAGTTACCAGAAATCCATAAGAGGATGATGAGACATTTTAGTGCAAGAGATCTGTTTATCACCATTATATGTGTGATTATGGATGGTTATATAGGAACGGCTCATTTTTAGCAATATTTATGTCCACATATTGCATTTACATTACTTTATCTACAAAACAGAGGTAGAGCACAACCTTTAGAATGTCCTCTCAGATGAAATGTCTGTGTCCCAGACTAGCAGCTGTAGTGATTATGGAACAGTGGTGACAGGCATCTAAATCCCACTTCGTCTAAGTGACATCCAGATAACAGAAGGTAAAATCTTGGGCCACCAAAATGTGTTTTAAAAATTAGATGTGATGACAGTATTTCACATGTATATTTTACGTTCTACCTCGATAAAAAAAAAGAGCACCCCACATGCGTTTCACGCTTCCGTTTGCCACGTGATTATGGCGGGTCGCGTCGTTTTTGGTACCGACCCTGTGGTTTATGGCCTCCCAGGGCACTGAGGGAGACGGTGACACCAAACACCCTACCACGGCACGTCCACGAGGCTGAGGACGGCAGGGCCAAGTGTCGCCTCTAGTCCATAGAGCTTTTCTGATGCTTCTACACCCCGAGGGTGGAGCAGGGAGAGGCCAGCTCCCCACCGCAGCCCACACTGCCAGCTGTCGCGGCCCCGAAGTGCCACGCTCACCTCTACATCTGCAGGCGTCACCTCTAATGTTTGCCTCTTGCTTTGATCGTTTCATTCCCACGTTCCCTTCTTTTTCTGGGATCCTCCTGGTCTCTCCCCGTGCATTTCTCTTCTTCTTCTGGAATCCCTTGCCAGGAGATTGGGGAAGACTGGCCTGTGGCCATCGCCATGAGTAAAAACCCTCCTGTTCTAAGGAGAACACTTGCCAGTTCTGAGACCTCATCGTCCTGCCACTGGCGTTTGAGAAGAGGTTCCCTCCCAGGCACCAGCGACAAGGGTCTAACGGTGGGTGTGCGTGGTCGGCGGAGATTCCTACACCTGTCCGTCTGGCAGTGTAAGAGACGCGACGTTGCTACGTAACCGGAGTTGGAGGACACAGGTGTCCTTCAGCGCCAGGACTCCAGGCTGACTGGGGCCTTGAGGAAAACGGTGTCACACGTGGTCCCGACGTGGGCTGCTTGTCTTTTTCAGGTGTCTGCTTTGTTCAAGGATGGGACGATAGGAGGAAACATCAACATTGCGATCGTGGGGCTGATTCTTCTAGAAGAAGAGCAGGTATTCTATCTTTGAAAACAGCAGCTTATTTTTCTCTCATAAAAGTAAATGCAAACGACATGCTTTGTTTTCCTTAATCTAATTCTTCTATGGATTTGTGTTTTTACTGCTTTCTCTTGGAGACAAAGCTTTTAAAATATTCTTTGTCTAATTCAATGAGTTGCTTGTCAACTGAACGATTATTTGGCTTTCTGGTTTGTAAGCAGAGGGAGTAAGGAGTGCTCATGGAATGGGCTGATTTAAAAATGGAATAGACAGGCTGCCTTTAACATCTGGGTGGGAAGCACACTCGGAATAAAAAGAGCAAAACACGTCTTTGGCCACTGTGAACTTGAACGATGCTGAGTGGAGCCGAGCCCTGTTTATCTTTTTCTAGAAGACTAAAAATGTTCCACAGCGTAGAGGGGACCTCGCAGGATGTGGCCTCGCATTGTCGCCTCCCAGCTCCTCAGATGGAGCCCACCGCCCTCACACTTTCAGTCTCGGGGTTTTATTGTCATAGAGATTCTGCCACATCGAGCACATTTTTCTTGTTGCCTACGAGACCCGGATTCTGCTGGATCTGGGCAGTGTGTGGGGAGCGCCTCGCCTCTGCCTCCGTCCCAGAGTTCCTGTCTGAATGCACAGGCATGCACCCCAGTTCACAGCCAAGGTGTCTATGGGTGTCCCGCAGTGAGAGTCATGGCATCTCTGCCGTAAAAGGCTCTCACCTGGACTTGACCCCAGGCTGATCGCCGACCAGGCGTGGGCGAGCGAGCTGGGGTCCTGAGTCAGTTTCGCTGACGTTGTGGCAGAGTCTCCTGTTAGAAATAGTTTTCTTGTTTATAAAACAAATAAGTTTTTAGATGAAATCTCAGGTCATTCGCAAGATCTAAGATGCCTACAGACTTTAATATTCCGGGTCTCTGCTCTTCTCCTGGGCAGGGAGGGGATGTGCGTGGGCCGGACACCTCTCGCCTGACCGGTCAGGAAGATACAAGTTCATTGTCTTTTGTGCAGTGTGCGTCCGTGTCTGGGAAGGAGGCCCGAGCCAGCAGGGCTTCTCAGGTGACAGGTTAATTATTCCTTGCAGTAAATCGTTTTCACTTTGGAATTCCTCCAAGTTGCAAAGAATAAGCAAAGTCCTCTTTTGATCGTACACCTGTGTTAACTTTAATGAACGCAGTTTTCCTGCGAATCACCAGCTGAAGAATGCAAGGCGTGTCCCCGCGCTGAGTGCAGCGTTTAGCACAGGTGTCTTTGACTTTCTGGAAAGACATAATAAACACGTAAGGAGAAAACATATTCTGTGACTGAGGGAAAACATTTTAACATGATACTCTCGTCATGAAAGCTTTACACAAGTTACCATAAAATCCAGGTTTTTAATCTGGTTTTCTCTGACCATCCGCAGGAAAACATAACATTCCTATAAATGAGGTTCACACAGCTCCTTGCAGCCTGCTGCGGTGGATGCTCCTGCCACCCCAAATCCTTCATCTCCTATGAGTTCGCGTGTTCCTCATCCCGATGGTTCACCGTGGCTTTGTCAGAACTCGGTGTAGACGGATGAGGTCCAGAGTCTTCTATATCATTTCCTTCTACTCCCAGTTTGTTCTAGAAACAAAGCTTTAGCAACGGACCTGCTCTTCTCATAAATAGGTTAGCTCTGTAGGAAAGTGACTTAATTTAACACGGCAAGAATAAATATGAAAAGAGCTATAAATTGGAAATCCCACTTGTTTAACTGGTTATGAAGTAAACATTCACCGATTAGGTGTGTTTTGCATATGTGCTTAGTCATATGGAAACGATCCTGTTACATAATTTCGCAAACAGCTTTATGAAGGTTTTAGATGCAAAAATCGTATACACCGAAGTCATCGTCGTTGGCTCACTCAGAATGAATCGGCTGAGTACATGCCCCTTGGTTTGGTCAGACGAGGCACGGGAGTGTGTCTGCACCGAATCTGCACGGGTTTTATACAACACGCCTCTTTTGTGTTATAATACGTGAAACGGATATGTTAGCCCTTGTGCCGTTCAGATCTGCCCGTGTATCTGCGGTCCGGGTTAATGGATTTGCCGCGGCACCAGGGCCAGTCAACAGCTGCCTCGTAACGTGTCCCCTTTCTGTTCTCGTGGGGACCCGGCCCAGCCAGGGCTCGTGCTGCGACATCATGCGGACCGCACCTTAAGCAGCTTCTGCCAGTGGCAGTCCGGGCTGACGGGGAAGGACGGGGCTCGCCACGACCACGCCATCCTGCTGACCGGGCTGGATATATGTTCCTGGAAGAACGAGCCCTGTGACACGTTGGGTAAGGTCCTCCGGCCGGGCTCTGGAAAGCACGTATGTGCCCTGTGCCCGCCGCGGCCTGGCATGTTGAGCGCTTTGGCCCTCATTCCGAATCCTTAAGCAGTAGCCGCTGCCGAGTACATGAGGAAGAGGCTTGCATCGCTGTATAAGCTTTGGCCACACCTAGGAGTCGGCATTGATTCGTCGGAAGTGACCATTTCACAAGGACACGGCCATCCGCAAGCGTCCTGTGTCTTCTAACTTGATAGTTGCTTTCACTTCTCCTTCCACTTGTGAGGAGGGGTCGGTGCCTTCGAGGGGGCTTTGCTCCGTGGCGGAGATGGCGCGTTATGAGTGTCGCTAGAGATATTCCCCCTTGGCCCCTTTCTTTGTAAATGTCTCCGTCGTAGGGATCTTGTCACGTTTATAGGGCTGAGTTTAACTTAGAGGTGGCACTTCGATGTTTTTCCGAATAGTCGGTGTGTGAAGCACAGCGTGCCACTGACCAGGGCTCTCCTGCACGTTTGTCCCAACTCCTCATTATTCCCCAGGATTTTAGGGAAGGAGATCCTTTATTATAAAAACATTCCGACAGGACTCAGTTTAATAGCGGCGAATCCTGACCGCTTGTGCGTAGGAAGCCCTGCTTACAAGGCTGGCCCTTGGCTGGCCTCCAACAACTCAGGCTTCAGGAAGGTCCCCGCCACCCGAGCTGCTGAGCGTGGTCCCCTGCACCTACGCTGCTGGGACAGTGTGGTTTATGCAGAACACCTGCCTTCCTCCTGCTGGTCTGGGCTTTGGGCCCATGACAAGCACAGGTGCTTATGTGGCCAGACCCCAATAGGACCCCTGGGCCCTGCATCTCCACTGAGCCTCCCTGGTGGGCAGTGGTCTTGTCCACTTGTCATGACATAATCCCGGGGGAATGAAGCCATGTGGCCTCTGGGAGCTCATGCCTGGTCCCCGACTCCTTCCCACATGCTTGTTCCCACTGCTGATTTTTCTCTGCCCATTTGCCAGATTCAGGCACTCCCAGAGTGTGTCACACTCTGATTCTACGCGTCCTCGGGGCAAATCTCGGAACCTGGGGCGGGCTCAGCACCCCTGACGTGCACACTCCCCACAGCTCTGTTCCACCCAGGCTTGTAAGAACACAGATGAGTGTGGAGGAAGGCAGGACCCCTCCCCCATCTGCAGCGAGGCCCCCTCTTCGCTCGTCCTGGTTATAACCCACGGCACGAGCGCTTCGCAGAGCCCTGGATGGCTTTCCCGCAGGGAGAAGAGACCCCTCTCTCCCACATCGAGCTGTCTGTGGTTGCGCAAGGGTTTCCCGTGTCCTGTGTCACCAGGCGAAGATGAGGCGTGAACGTCCCTGAACGAGGGGGGTCCCCGTGCGCGTGCGACACGCCCCTGCTTCCCACGATCCCGCCGTACATGCTTTGCCCTTCGTGCCCCGCAGGCTTCGCTCCCATCAGCGGGATGTGCAGTAAATACCGCAGCTGCACGGTTAACGAGGACACGGGGCTCGGCCTGGCTTTCACCATCGCCCACGAGTCTGGACACAAGTAAGTGCACGCCCGCGGGAGGGCGCCGCCCCGGCGCCTGGCCCTCCTGGTTGGTTGCCATGGAAATACCGGTTCATTCGGGCACGTGGGTAAGGGGAAGTCACATGCATCCAAGGAGACTGCCGTTGACACGTGGGGACGCCATCGCACAGGGGCCTCACTCTGCACACCCCGTGCCCACGTCACACCCCCTCACTGTGTTCTTCCCTTGCGTTCCTGCTCACACGTGCGTGTGCCATTGCAGGCACTTGGGTCAGCCTCTGCCCCTTGGTCCTGTGGGCTGGTCTCATTCCATGGTCAGCTCCTGTGGGGGGACTCTGACGACCGAGGGGAGCAGCAAGCCCTCTGCCGTTAACTCGCGACTCCCGAGTTTGTGACTTACGTCGCTGAGAGCGTGGGATGTTTTTTGACTGGCGAGCTGAGCAGAGCCCGGGGGGCCCTGGAGCAGCAGGGGGCCGGGCCCAGTGGGAGCGTTTGCCTCCCAGCTTCCCTTCTGCCCAGCATTGTCACTTTGAAATGGGACAGCATCCGGGAGGGCAGGGAGCCCGCGGCTCGGCACAGACAGATGCGGGGGTGGCACAGGCTGCTCTCAGCAGTGAGCGACTTGTCACTGGTGGCCCTTTTTTATGTGACAAGCTTACATTTATTCCTGTAGAATGAAAGTTTTCTATTAATTACTTACAGAAACTTACCCTTAGATACGGTTGCTTAGGCTAACGACGCTGTAAGCTGCCTTCCCGCGAGGCCCCCCCCACTTTTTCTTAGTGGGACCACCTGCCCACTCCCTGCAGCGGCCCGGACGGTAATTCTGATATTACTTGCCAAATCACAAACCTCGAGAAAGTCAGTGTTTGCGATTTGGTCTCCATCCCCTATTTAGAAAATGGACTGAGGTCGCCTGACGTGTTCATAGCATCGGTATGTGTGTGTGGGTGTGTGTGTTCACACGTGCGTGCCTGCCTTTCACGGAACCGCACGGAGGCCCCGCAGACGTTGGCCGTATGTGAGCAGAAGGCCCAGAAGTGACGCTGTCTGTCCTCTGCCTGACCCCTTCATCGTCACAGGTAATGGCTGACTTTCCCAGGGCCTAGAAAATTGCGCCTACGCTTTCTAAAGCTTTCGGTTAAATCATAATTGCATTTTTAATAGACTGCTAGAGCCGAGACTTCAAAAACTCTCATTATTTCAACGACACGGGCCTCTTGCTGCCTTCTGAACCATACCTGAATTTAATTAAACTCTGAAGGTAAGAAATATTTAAGGCACGGAGGGCCAAGCAAATCAGCACAAGATGAACAGCCGAGATACGGGCATCAGGCGCACAGGTGGCGAGTTTAACTACAGTTAAACCGATGCATCCACAACGAGGCTGGGCTCCGAGGCTTCGCTGTCTACACCTGCCGCTGCTTGCTTTTGTGTCGTCCAGAAGTCTATTAGCAATATTTCTTTTCGTCACTCGGGCTGGGTCTAGATGGAAGAAGACTTCCTTCCAAACAAGAGAGAGGTGTTTTTATTTGCAAATGGGACTACACATGGGGAGAAGGAAGGAAGAGCTGGATTTGGATAAGGGGAGACCCGCTCCTCATAGAATTAACCCCAGAAAATCACCGACTCCTTCCTGAGCACCGGGCGTGGAGAGGACCAGGGGGAACCGGGAGCTCTGAAGAGCCGACGCTGCCAGCGAAAGAGCTGCTGGTCGTTGAAACAGGACACGAATGGCAGAGCCGTGCGTACGAACCCGCGTGTGCTCAGTGCCAAAACGGGTGACAGTCAAGACGGCAGAGCCGGAAACCGCCGTGGCTGCTGGTCGTTGAAACAGGACACGAATGGCAGAGACGTGCGTACGAACCGCGTGTGCTCAGTGCCAAAACGGTGACAGTCACGACGACAGAGCCGGAAACCGCCGTGATGCCCGCGCTTTGCAGAGAGCCGTCCGTCAAATGCGCAGAGCGATTCATTTCCCCCGCAGCTCACGCCACAGGAGCCACTCGGACAGTCTCTTACCCGCAGCGGGCTAGCTCAGCAGGCAGGCCGGGCGAGGACGGGCGAATGCGCCCGGATGGGGTGGGAGGAGCCAGCAGGTGCCTGAACCGAGAGCGAGGGCTTCTCCCTGCGAGGAGGCGGTGGGCTGTGGGATGGCGGGCTCGGGGCTCAACCCGCGGATCCTGGTTGGCTGGAAGGCAAGCACATGTGTTCCGTTCATTTGCCTCTTGAGGACCGTGGGTCTGACGTGTGGATGGGACCTCATGACATGGACAGCGTGATCCGAGGTGAGGAGCTCCAAGCGCAGTCAGTTCTTGAGTTCTGTGCCTTCAGAGTTAGAAAGTAGTTTTACATCTGTTAGGTCTGCATAAAACACCTTACTCCACAGGAGACTGTTTTCTCTTCAGTCCTGTGTCCATTCAGACTGGCATCTTCAGTCCTGTGTCCATTCAGAATGGCACCTTCAGTCCTGTGTCCATTCAGACTGGCATTTATCTAGGACACTTCAAGGACGATAAAGTGTCTTTTTCACATTCGGGTCGGAGGCCAGCGAGGGGAAGGCGCTTCGGCATTTCATTGTGTCACTTTCTCCCCAAGGCAGCCACCCCTGTGTGATTACAGTCCGAGCCACGTCATAGCCGTGACACATTTCCTCTGCCGTGCGCTCACTCTGGCCTTGACCGACTGCTCTTAATAGAGCTGCAGAGAATGGGTGGAGGCCGCAATGACCACATCGCCCACGGTCGCGAGCAGGAGTTTTGCAGAAATTGGACAATATTTGCATGTTAGGATTTCTTGGATATGCCCTTTCGTCACACTCAGGTCACTCACACACACGCTCACACTCACACACACTCACACACTCATGCATACACTCACACATGCACACAGTCACACACATACACGCACACTCACACATGCACATACACACACTCACACACATGTTCTCACTCACACACTCACACTCACACATGCATACACATGCACACACTCAGAACACACACATATACTCACACTCATGTGCACACACGCACACACACACGCTCATGCACATGCTCACACACATGCTCTCACACACACTCAGACACTCACACTTGCACTCAAACGCATACACACATGCTCAGAACACACACTCACACTCACATGCACACACACTCCACACTCATGCATACACTCACACATGCACACACTCACACATACAGATGCACACTCACACGCACATACACACGCTCACACACATGCTCTCACACTCACACACTCAAACGCATACACATGCACACTCAGAACACGCACATACACTCACACACTCTCACGTGCACACACGCACACACACGCTCATGCACACGCTCACGCACATGCTCTCACACTCACAGACACTCACACTCGCACTCAGACGCATACACGCTCAGAACGCACACTCACACTCTCCCATGCACACACTCACACTCGCACATGCACACTCACACACTCACACACAGTCACACACACACAAACACGCACGCATGTACCCACACACACTCACACACATACACACTCTCATACACACTCACACACACACACACACCTGCACACACACTCACACACACCCACACAGGCTGTCGTCCCCGGGGAGCCGTCCGCCCTGCGGGGCGGTGACGGTGCCAGTGAGCCCTCCGATAGGCCGGAGTGTAGGACCTTGAGCAGGACGCTTGGCGGGGAGGCAGCCGGTGGCATTCGCACAGGTGCAGCGCTCCCCGCCACCCGGGTGACGGGAAGGGGGCGGTGACCGGCCCTGTGGGATTTAAGGTCCCTTAAAGAACCACGTGAAGGGTCTCCACAGGCTCTGGGGCTTCACATGTCCCCGTTTACTGGGCTGGAGCCAGAGCGCGTTCTCAAACTGTCAGGTGCCGAATTTCACATGTCCCCGTTTACTGGGCTGGAGCCAGAGCCTCAAAGTGGTTTTCTTTTCACCCAAGAGGACCAGGTAACCCCTCACACGAGGCCCACGGATAAGGCGACCGCAGCCGCCCCCTGGGGTTGCCTGGAGCCACTTCCTCAAAGGGACGCAGGCAGTAGCCAGGTCGAGCACTGTCCGCTGTCACGGCATCCAGCAGCACCAGTCCAGCCGCGACGGGCCGCCCCGGGGTCGGGGGATGAACAGGTCAGCGCCAGCACCAGGACCTGCGGCCTTGGCTGCGCGTTCTCAAACGGTCAGGTGCCGAACCCCGGCGCCAGTACGTCTGAGAGGCTGGGTCCTCCACGCACCCTGGAGAGCGGAGGGGAGCGCAGAGGGAGGAGGGGTGCAGAGGCGTCCCGGCTCCGCCAGGACCAAGCGACCCACTCCCCCCACCCCCGCCCCAGATGCTGTTAGTAACGAAAGCCTCTCTCTCCCTTTCGCTGACATCCACACAGTCGCCATGTCCGTCCGTGGCGCGCACCTCAGCGGACAGCAGCTCCTCGGGAAAGGTCCGGAGCGCGCGGCTCAACTCCATGGCTTGGCCGATAAGGCTCTTTATCTCTGCCCGACCAGGACGCGGAGGCAGGGGCATCTTCGCGGGGCCCCGTGTGTGTGCGTTGGGGCGTGTTACACGACCCTTAAACGCTTCTTTGCTCTGGAAGAGCCGTTTCTCTCTCTCGCAGCTTCGGCATGGTCCACGACGGAGAGGGGAACCTGTGCACGAAGTCCGAGGGGAACATAATGTCCCCCACGCTGGCGGGACGCAACGGGCTCTTCTCCTGGTCGCCCTGCAGCCGCCAGTACCTGCGCAGGTTTCTGAGGTATGACGTTTGGGACCCGGCCCTGAATCTCTCGTCACCTTGGATGTTCGCTGCCTCGGCAGCCCGATCATGTCCAAGCCTGGGTGTGGCTTCCCAAGGTGGCTCCCACTGGACGGTGTCTTAAGACATTCATATGGCCAAGGAGTTTGCCATATGCTTCCTTAGGGCCTGGAGGTGTAACCCAACATCGTAGGACCTTTAAGCTCGGAAGTCTGTGTGACACTCACCGAGCCAGAATAGTGTGTCCACACTTAGCTTTTTTTAATTTCTCACGTCTGTAACTACACAGTCCGGTCGGGAAGAGGAAGATGCAGTGCATACACGTCTGTGTACAGAAGGGTAAAATACGCCGAACTTTCTTAGGTTTTGTTTTCTTTCGTTCTGTTTTCTTTTTTAACAAAATTCATTTTTTTCATGAAAAGCAAAACTGGACTCTGTAAACCTTGACCCGGCTCTAAATCCTGTAATTTTTAAGAATTATTTTTAGGAAATTTCATTATAGTACTAGTTCCTTTAGGGCATAGGACGCTGGGGAGGTAGGGTTTGACCCCCAGAACAATAGATAGTAGATTTTAAAATTTTAGAGAAAGAGGGACTTTGAGAAAAACCTTAGACCCGCCGGTAGGTTAGATCGTCCCCGAATCTCACGGGCGTTGAGTTCGCCCTAGGGCTTAAGCTGTAGGGCACAGCTCTATTCCTGACTTGTCTCATCACGGGTCGCTGAGGCCTCTGCTCCGTGCTTCGTTCAGAGACACAGGTCCGCTCCACACTGTGGCTCTGCCCTCTTCTGGGTCCTTGCTCTCCGCTCGGCCAGGAGGGGGCCGGGGAGAGAGACTCGAGGGCATGCGGCACGGGGACTGTGTTCCTGGACATGAGGACGCAGCCGGGGGCCCTCCAAAGTGAGAGGGAGGCTGAGGCAAGGCCGCTGTGTGCTCTGGAGGAGAAGGACAGAGGGCCGTGCAGGGAGGGACATGTGCGCTGTGTCGTCAGCCCCGAATCACGTCCCCGGTGGCATCACTGAGCCCTGCGGGGCCTGGCTCTCTGGTGACAGAATTGGCTCTAGGAGCCGGGCATCTGGACACCAGACCTGACCTCTCCCCGCCGATCTAAGAACCATCAGTGCAAAGAGCTGAGGAAAAACGATTCTGTTGCAATCTTAGCCTTCATGTTTGTTTTCAGTCTGCGAGCACTTAACACAATCACTCGACTCAAATGCTAAAACGATGATGAGGGAGAATCTTTCTTTAGAGAGTAGCTCCTGACTCTGAGGGTGACTCGTCTCTGAGAATCAATGCGCAGAACCGAACGCAGGGGCGTAAGGCAGGGGCTGGGGCCCCCTCGGCCCCGACGTGCCTCTGCTCCCCCCGAACACGTCCTGTGACCAGGGGACAGGGCCTGGGACAGATTGCAGTGTCATATTTTGGTCCTCGTGGGAGACACACCGATGTCACCTTTGCCATTTCTGGAGCATCATTGTTCTTTGGCCTCAGGAGTGAGAACTTCTCTTGTTCAGGACGAAGGATGCGTTTATTCAGCAGACACAGAAGGGCTGCGTTCGCTCGCCGACAGCTCACCGACTCACAGCTGCCTACGGAGTCCAGGGGAGGAGAGAAAAACTTAAACTTCCTTATTTTCAAACCCCCCCAATGCCAGCAAGAAATGAAGAAGAGAGGACTGTGTTTGCTCACGGTTCTGAGGTTCGTCAAAGAAAGCATAAGAATTGCCACTCGTTTTAATTGCGTATTTGGGGGAAAAAAATTAACAGATGAAACCACTTTACCTTAAGAAATTAGAATGGATTATCGCAAGAAAAAGACATTAGTAGAAGTCAAAGTCAGATGAAGAGAAAAGCAAGTGAGAATGAAAAGCGCAGACCAAGAAAAAACGCACAAACATGTAGACCCTGGAGGACAATCTTCATCTGCGGTATCGAAGCTTCCAGTTGGCCTAGAGGCTTTCTAGAAACCAAAGCAAGAAAAGACAATATAATCTGGTTGTATTAATAGAAGTAGGGCAAATACCAATATTTCAAGGATAGCAGAGCTTTCCCAGCGCAAAATTAAAAAAATAAAACTGCTTATATATGTACATAAATGCAGTTATAGATTTATGTATAAGCACACGCATTTGTAAAAATGTAATATAAATATACTTTATATTTACATGATACTCTATATATGGTACGTTGGGCGTATAAAATGTATTTCACATATTTGTAACAATAAAATTATATTTATGTCACATAGTGACTGTTTATAAATATTAATACAAACACAATAAAGAAAACCTCTGACGGTCGCCTATGTGTACCCATCCCCCGCTGCACCCAACGACACCTGTGTGACCTCCCCCTTCTGCCCACGCCGGGACCGACCCCAGGGCCGTTCCATCCCCGCCCTGTCCACACAGGCACCAAGGACGCTTTTCTTCCACTTCTGTTTTTGCCACGACGCGATGCCCCCGGCGAACAGGCCACAGCGCGTGGAGGGCCAGCGGCAG